CCCTGAGTGACTCGCGTCGTAGTCCAAATTGAAGTAGAACGAGTTCTGCACTGGCCTCTTGTCCGAGCCCTTGTTGGCCGCCGCCGGTCGTGACGACTCGGACTTCAACCTGTCTGCCTTACTCCGATACGGTCGCCGACAATCTTCTCGCCAGTGCCCCTTTTCCCCGCAATTCGAACAGCGGGATCTCTTCTTGAAATCGTCTCTGGTGACTTTCTTCGTTCCTTGTCCGTTGCTTCGGTCGAAGAAATCCCTGTCTACCTTTTTGTTCGTCTTGAGCTGCCTGGACTCTGCCCACGTGCGACGCCGCTGAGGGAGAGTCACTTCAGCAAACACATCCATGATATGCTCCTCGTCCAAGTCCTGTGAGTCCAACGAAACAAGAATAGTGGCAAGCTCCTGCTCGTCGAACTCCATCTCATAGAGCCCGAAGCACTCGTTGTCGTCGCAGGTGTCGCACTCGTAATCCCCAGCTTCGTCGAGCACCGGTACCGTGGTCGCGAAGGTCCTGGCCTGAGCAGGTGCCAGCGCCTTCGGGAGCGTCTGCCTCTCGGTGATATCCAGTTCCAGTAGGGCAGCGCGAACAGCCTCCACGGTCCTCTTGCCAGCCATCAGGGTCCTCAGGTTGAGTCGAAGCTGGGAGGTTAGGTTAGCTCCTTCCTCGTAGTACCTGGCCTTGACTGTGTCGGGAAGTGTCAGACCCAGCCGCTCGGCGGCCGCAATCTGTTGATCTCGCCTGATCACGTAGTCTGTGAGGGTCTCTCCCTTCTTTATCGCATAGTCAAAGAGTGCCTGGTTGTGTGCCTCACGCTCTTTGTCCCCTGGACGCTCCCCGTTTAGCAACTTAAGATGGTCAATAACTTTACCAAGGCCGTCGCTCTCGTCGGTCAGGTGCCTGATGCTCTTGAATCTTGCCTGAAGCTCGATTGGGAACGTCTCGATCACTCGCCCGGCACGAGTCTCCGCCTTGAATGCAGTCCGCCCTTCCCAGGACTTAAGACTAGCAAGGTACAACTCCAAATTCTCTAACCCATGCCACGTCGGAGGCGCAGAGTAGTCTCGATTGACTTCATCCCCAGATGCCCTTCCCCACGATCCTGAACCCCACCAGCTTCGGGAGGAAGACCAATGCCAATCTGACCAACCTGCTCGCCCCCAGTTTCTCCAGGCGTCCTCATCTGAGTCGAGGCCGGCTGCGGCCCCATCTGTCTTCTGAGGAGTGGAGATCGTTTCCCATGGGTCTATCGCATGGGCGCCCTCTCGCTCGGGAACCTCCTGATTACGTGCAGCACCCTCAGCACCTGGCTCAGCAGCGCCCCCTTGACCCAGTGCCTCGTCCACGCTCCGGCTACCATTGTCAGCAGGCATCGGGGGCAGGGAGGGCCGAAAGGCCTAGAGGGAAACACTTTTCTCAACCAAGTGTGTGAGATCGCACGTACATTCAGTCCTCTGGCGCGAGCGCGCCCCAAAGCCAAATTGGCTGCGTAACCACTGTCGGTCACAAAGAGGCGAGGGGAGGAGAGGAAAATGAGAACAATGAGGATGCTGCTGATGATGCTGATACTGATGATGCTGATGATGATCATGATGATGCTGATGATGGCGATGCTGATGGTGAAGATGATGGTGATGATGATGCTGCTGATGCTGCTGATGCTGATGATGATGACGATGGTGGTGGTGGTGGTGATGATGATGATGATGACAATGGGTGGTGGTGGTGGTGACGATGACGATACTGATGCTGCGCTGTTGATCATGCTGCTGCCGCTGATGCTGTCGAGGATGATGATGCTGCTGCTGCTGCTGATGATACTGACAATGATGATGATGATGATGATGCTGATGATGATGAGGATGATGCTGCTGATGCTGCTGCTGCTGATGATGATGAAGCTGCTGGTGATGCTGATGACGACGATAATGATAATGATGACGCTGATGCTGATGCTGATGCTGCTGCTGCTGCTGCTGATGATGATGATGATGATGATGATGATGAGGATGCTGCTGATACTGACGCTGTTGATGATGCTGCGGGTGATGAAGCTGCTGATGATGATGCTGGTGATGATGATGCTGCTCCTGATCATGCTGCTGCTGCTGATGACGTCCAAGATGATGATGACGATGCTGCTGGTGATAATGATAACGATTTTGCGGCTGATAATGATAATGATGACGCTGATACTGATGATGATGACGATGATGCTGATGATGATGATGACGATGATGATGATGATGATGATGATGCTGATAATGACGCTGATGAAGATGATGGTGATGATGGTAATGATGCTGATGCTGATGCTGATGCTGATGCTGATGATGATGCTGATGCTGCTGTTGCTGATGATGCTGCTGCTGCTGATGATGCTGATGCTGATCATGATGATGAAGAAGAGGAGGAGGTGGAGGAGTAGGAAACGAAGGGCGGTATCCTGCCCGATCTCAGTCGCCCGAGCAGCGAGGCACGTGTTCGGCGGGGCCGAGATGATGATGATGCTGCTGCTGATGATGATGATGAAGAAGATGCTGATGCTGATGCTGATGATGCTGCTGCTGCTGCTGCTCGTGATGATGATGATGATAATGATGATGGTGGTGGTGGAGGCAATATTGCTGCTGATGATGATCATGACGATGGTGGTGAGGGTGATAATGATGATGATGAGGGCGGAAACTAGGAGGAGGAGGAGGAGGAGGGGGAGGAGGAGGAGGAGGGGGTGGAGAAGAACGTGGATGAGGATGAGGATGATGATGATGATGAGGAGGAGGAGGTGGAGGAGGAGGATGTGGAGGAGGATGAGGAGTAGGAGGCGGAGGAGGCGAAGGAAGAGGAGATAAGGAGGAGGTCGAAGAGATGATGACGATGATGCTGCTGCTGCTGCTGATGATGATGATGATCATGATGATGCAGATGATGATGATGATGATGATGATGATGATGATGATGATGATGATGACGATGATGATGCTGATGATGCTGATGCTCATGATGATGCTGATGATGATGATGCTGATACTGATGCTGATGATGCTGCTGATGCTGATGATGACGAGGAGGATTATCATGATGATGCTGATGATGCTGATGCTGCTGCTGATTATGCTGCTGATGATGCTGATGATGCTATTGCTGATGATGCTGATGATGCTGATGATGCTGCTGATGATGATGCTGCTGCTGCTGCTGATTACGAGGAGGAGGAGGAGGAGGAGGAGGAGGAGGAGGAGGAGGAGGAGGAGGAGGTGGAGGAGTATGAGACGGAGGGCGGCATCCTGCTCCATCTCCGTCGCCCGAGCAGCGAGGCACGTGTTCGGCGGCGCCGAGAAATGCTAGGAGGCCCCCCCCACTGCGCCACGCCTCTGCTCAGCGGTCGCCGACCCCGAGCACGCCGAAGGGCGCCCGGCCGAGGCGTCGGCGCACCGACAGCCACCGAATCCCGAACGCAACCATCGTGCTACCAAGAGGAGCGATGAATGCGGAACGACCGTTTTTTTCTGGCCACGTCGAGCCTCGGCCACGGGTAGGTTCCCCGACCAACCCAGGCGCTCACTCATCCAGGCGCGTGGAAACAAATTCTCGACTCTGGCGGCGCTCGGGGAGGCGAAGAAGCGGGGCTCGCGAGGGTCTCTGGGCCCTCCGGGGCCGGAAGTCTGGCCGAAGCCTGCGCGGCCTCCCCACAACGCCCCGGCCGCAGCGCCCCCAGTATCGGTCGGAGATCGTCGGGGATTTCGGCCGTCGCTCGTGTAGACTGTCGGATGTCCGTGCAGATTTTCTGGGGTCGGCGATGGAGCTCCTCCCCACCGATGCTTGTCCTCATCGATGGCTCTTCCTCCTCCTCCTCCTCCTCCTCCGCCTACCCCCCTCCTCCTCCTCCTCCGCCTCCTCCTCCTCCGCCTCCTCCTCCTTCTCCTCCTGGCAGTGGGCACTGACGGCATGAAGGTCGATGCTTCGACGTTACCCCCCCCCTCCCCCCCCCACCCACCAGGGTCAGGGGGACGTAAGATAATGACGAGGCCGAGCCTGCATTTTGACGAGGCCTCCCGCTGCAGACATCCCACGAAACTCCTCCTCGTCAAAATCCGAGGCGCGGTCGTCAAAAAACGATGGCGAACCCGAGTCCTGGCAAACCCGGGTCTTACGCTCCCCCGACAGGGGCGGTCGCCCCCGGGGGGAGCTGATCAAACTAGTTCAGCTGTACGGAATGGAGGAGGGGGAACACGTGTGGCACGAGAGGACCCCCCAGGGGGCGGAGTGACTGGGGTCCCCCCAGGGGGCGGAGGGAGAGGAACGACAAGTCGGTGACGACGGAGGCAAGCGACGAGCCTCTGGGGGACGGAGGCGGAGTGGGGGACTTGGTGCGGCGGTGCAAGCAGGCTGGCAGGCGCTGCTTTGGCAAACGTGGCCAGGGCCACGCTCGCTGGAGGTAGGATGGCGCAAAGGCCTCTCTCTATTCACTCCTCCTCCTCCTCCTCCGCCTCCTCCTCCTCCTCCTCCTCCTCCTCCTCCTCCTCCTCCTCCTCCCCCGCTTCCGCGTTTCTCATCCTTCCTCTCATTTCTCCTCCACCTCTTCAATTCCAGCCTCTCCTCACACACAACCTCTCTTGCATCCGTGATCGCCTCTCCTCCTCCTGCTGCTCCCGTTGCTCGCACCCCTTTTTGCTTTTCCTCTCTCTGCTGCTGCCACCCTTCTGGGGGAGCCAAATGGTACTGATACCGCCACTCCCCAGACCACTCCCCAGGGGCGAAATGACCAAAATCTCGAGGCGAATCCAGCCGTGACAACGAGCGAAAGGAAGGGTAGCGGCATCGGTATGTTTACTTTCTCTGATGCTCCGCACCGTCGTTCGTCGTCGTCGTCGTCGTCGTCGTCGTCGTCGTCGTCGTCGTCGCGGTCGCCGTTCGTCCGTTGATCGTCGTCGACGTCGTCGGAGTCGTCCCTCTCCATCGCAAGGGCTCCCATTGCGCGCGCGCGCGCGTCCGCTGGAGGGGCCTCTGCCGGCCGGTCGCCGTCTTCGTCCGCGAGGAAGAAGCTCTCGTCGTCCTCGGCGGGGCCAGGGCCAGCAGCCCGCCCTCGGGCGAGGAGCAGGGCCTTTTGCTTGGCGTGTCGCGGCGGCTGCCCCAACGACACGCCGTTCTCTGCGAACCGATAACACGTCGCTCCGCTCAGCGGGGCGGGATACCGGGAAAAACTCGGGACTTTGACGCTCGGGGACCGGGACGTAACTTAGCGTGTCGCGCCGAAACGTGGTGGGCCAAAACTGGCAGCGCCACGCGCCCAAGCCAGAGTCCCCGGCCGTACGCCGGGATCGGTGTGATCTCTTCGAGGAGTCCGGCAGCTGTCGCCGCCTGGAAGATCCGCCCCGCCGGCTGCGGGAGCGGCCCATCGCTGGAGAGCGACCTGCCTTGGGCACACGTGTGCCACGGATTGCGGATTACCGCCGTCTCGGGGCTGCAGCGGAGGAGGAGGAGGAGGAGAAGGAGGAGGAGGAGGAGGAGGAGGAGGAGGAGGAGGAGGAGGAGGAGGAAGGAAGGAGGAGAAAGAGGAGGAGGAGGAGGAGGAGGAGGAGGAGGAGGAGGAGGAGGAGGAGGAGGAGGAGGAGGAGGAGGAGGAGGAAGAGGAGGAGGAGGAGGAGGAGGAGGAGGAGGGCACTCGCATAGCGAGAAAGTAAGAATACGGCCGACCCGACCGGCATTCCTGCATTGAGCCTCCGTTTCTCGTCGTCCTTTCTTTCTTCTTTCTTTCTTTCGGATGCCTCTAGCCACGCCGTGACAGGCCTGCTTCTTCACAAGGCTTGCAGATTATTTGTCTTGAACTTTGCCGTGCTTTGACCTGAAAACTTGATGAATCAGCTCGGATATCGGAACAACGGCGTCCTCTAAGGCCATGGCTTCTGCAGTGAAGCATGAAACAAGCGAAATATTGAAATGCCACTCATAGCGATAGGGAAACCCGACCCAAAGAACCCCCCCTAGCGCGAGCGGGGGGAGCAGGGGCCGAACACACCCACCCCCCCAAAGCGAAGCAGACAGGAACCTGGGCTCACAGGGGTCGTGGAGAGCGGAGTAGCAATGGGGGGCGGTGTCACTCCAACCCCCCAGAGGGCGCGGCCGCGGGTCCAGGCTTGTGTCCCGCCTGGCCTGCGGCCCCGCCAGATGCCCAGAGGCAGCATGGCATGTCCAAGCCCCCCAGCGCTGCTCCGTGGACCTACTCCGTAAACCCAACGCTGATGCTGGCTGCAGAGACAGCTTGGCAGCGCGCAGACGCGGTCGCTGCGGTCTCATGGGCTGCCAAGGTGCGATGCCGCCGGCGTCGGGCTGGCGGGGGCCAGGTTGGCTGCGCCGTCTCGGCCAGCTTCCGTGCCATTCCCCAAGCTTCGAGCGTCATGGTGGTCCACAATCTCGGATCAACCTCCCGCCGCGCGCGCTCGCCCGATGGCCCAGAGGGCGCCGCGTGCGTGGGCGGGCGCGCCTGCGTGCTCGCAGTGTGAAGCCCGTAGGTGCGGGTGAACGCGTCCTCGCCTAGATTGCGCGAGGTGCCGTCCGCCCAATTGCCTCTGGAATCTACGAACTCCATCCTGATGCTGACCCGCGCGCGGCCCTGCGCGGAGCCGTCGCGCGCGCGCGCGCGCGCCCTGGCCAGGGGCCGTTCCCGGGCGTGTCCTCGCCTGTAGGAACTTGGCCATTGAAATCGCGCGATCGAGCGCGGCGCGTGACGCGCGCCCCTTGAAGAAACTATGAAGTGAAACGGTATTGTCGCCGAACCAGATCACCCTGGGCCAGGCGCCACGGGCGGGCGGGGTAATCCGTCCCCGAAGCTTCGCGGGCCTCCAGTCCGCGAGCGCCGGCAGCTCTTGCACAGGCGCCAGGGGGATCATCGACCCTGTGCGCGCGCCGCGAATGTTGATGCGAAGCGGAACCGCGCACGACCGCGCCTTCGCAATTGCGTTTCGGTTGCCGCCCTCATCGAGTCTCTCCTCGGTGTGCCCCCAGAGGTCGAGCAGCGCGGGACCGAAGGGGCACCAGTGCCCCGCGCGGAGGCCCGTGGCTGTGTCCACGAGCAGGTGCCCTCCCGTCGGGAGGCCGCAGCGGTCTGCCCGGGCGTCGCTGGCAATGGCCACCAGCGGCCCGTGGGGCGCGCACAGGGGCACTGGCCGGCGCGGCTGCCTCTGCAGAATCGCGCCGAGGAAATTGAAGCCCCGGCGCAACGCGTTGCTGAGCGACCGCGGCGGCACGTCAGCATACTAGCGTTGTTTGAGCGGGCCCAAAGCCGCCTGGCCCACTCCCTCCCGAAGCGAGGTGGCTGTGAAACCGAGCATTCCGCGCAGTTTGGAAGCGTCGCCCGGCGGCAGCGAATCGCTCGCGATTGCCGCCTGCATCGGCGCCAGAGCCTGTCCACCAACTCATCGCGTGGCCAGAACGCAACGTGTGGCTCCGCTGCGCCGATTTGCCGCAGGTCGTGTCGCACGCCGAGGAACTGCCTCGTGGAGGACATCTGCTGCTGTTTCTTCGTGGCGGCAGGCGTGCCCAACAGAGCAAACAAATCGTTTGCTGCCGATGGCACGGGGCGCCGCGCGCTGCGGTCAGATCTACGACGTTCCCGTCATCAACGTAATGCGCGTGCATCATCCCGAGGATGCGACGCGCCGCGGCCTCGAGGAAGTAAGACCAGCGCGAAAATTACCACGCGGCAGATGCAACCGAAGGGCAGCGCCCAGCAGGATTGAAATCTCAAGTCGCCGCCCCGTGGGTCTGTCATTGCGAAGACGTTCACACAAAGGTCGCTCTTTGTCACAGGCAAGCTCATGCGCGCGCCCGGCAAATCCTCGACGCCGGACTGCAGCTCCCAGGCGCCGTTGCCGTCGGTCCATGCCGCGCCCGCCGCGCGGCGCAGGGCGCGGGCGCTGACGGCTGGCTTGAAGGCGCTGCACGGCACTGCATGTCAATGTGTCGGAATCTTTTCGCGTTGTCAATCCGGCGCCGTTTCCCGCTCCGCTGGATCGTGACGAACTCAGGGATGGGCGCCCACTGGCCACGCCCAAAGTGCGCGTCCATTTCGCGCTCAGACAGAAGATCGCCCCCCCCCCCCCCCCCCCCCCCCCCCCCCCCCCCCCAGCCAGCGTCGCGCTCCTTAATGCAGTTTTCATGTAAGAGGTCAGCCTCCGCGCTCGGTTTGTCCCGGCGCACTTCGGCGATCGGCTGCTTGGATTCCGATAGCAGCTCATCGACGCGCCGCGGCGCAGGGTACTCTTTCGTTTCGAAAACGCCCGCGCGCTCGATGCGCCCCGTCAGCTCGAAGCCCGTATTTATAATGAAGTGCGGGGCGAGCAAGGTGTCTGGCCAACCCTTGATCCAATACAGAACTGCGATGAGCGCCACGTGCATGCGCCCGGCCACCGCGCGCGCCGTCACCGACTGGCGGGTGCGCAGCGCGGCGGAAACTGGCTGGGGCCTGTCGCTGAGCTCCTTGACAGCGGCCGCGCACTGCTGTCTCCACGCGCGGATCTTGAACGCATTGGGCGCGGTGAGCGCGGCGGCGAATTGCAGGTCCGTGGGCGCCGGAGTATCGTCATCAAACGGAAGAAACCTGTCCGCGCCAAACTGCAAGGCTGCGGCGAAGTGGCCCTCGCTCGTCAACTCAACCCTGTCCCGAGGACGACTGGCACTGCCCGCTTGTCGGTCAGCGCGCCTGCCTGCCGGCCCAGGGGCGCCGCCGTTCGCCCTTCGGAAAGGAGGCCCAGCGTATTCCCCACTGGCAGTGCGATGTCGCTGTCGTCGTACCAAGTGGCAAAGCTTACACACGGCTCTTGATTGTAGCCTTCCAGACAAGGCGTCGGCACCCAAGCGAGTCACTCTGGCGGGAACGCTTGCCGGAGCGCTACATGCGCGTCGCTTTGCGGGAACCGCGGGGGGGCGGTGGCGCCCCGTGCCGCGACGCCTGCGTCTGTCGCGGCGGGGGCGTTTCAACGCTGCGCCCCGGGTCTGCGGCGGCCGCGCCGGCCGGCTGCTGAAACGTCTTGGGGCGGTGCTCCGCGCCCGCGTGGTTGCGCATTCCACGCGTCCGCCCTCCCTTGCCCGCGACGTTGCCATGCGTGGGGGAAGCCGCGCGGGCATGGCTCGCTGCATTTCCCGTTGTCCCAAGCGCGGCGCACCTCCGTCCCGTCCTTCTGGCTGCCCCCCCGGCTTGTTATCATCGCCGCCCAGCTGGGCCCGGCGCGCGCCTGCGTCCTGGCGCGGCGGCTTGGCCTCGCCGCGCGCACCTGTGGGCTGCGACGAAGCTGGCGCTGGCGCGGTGGTGGCGCCCCGCGCCAGCTCCCCGCGCTCGCGCAATTCTTTAACCACTTTGCGGAGGGGGTTGGCTTGGACGAGCGGTGGCGATCGGCCCGCAGCTTCCGCCCTGGCGGTGCACCCATTCGAAGGCGCGCCCGCGCAGAAGCGCGGAGGCGCACGACTGGAGGCGCAAATGGAATGGCATTCGGACGTCCAGGGGCGCCTGGCGCGCAGCGCGCGGGCGCTGTCCGGCGCCGCGCTTGAAACGTGTCGCGCGCTGGCTGGCGCGTAGTCGGTCGAGTCCGACTCGGCTGTCTCAGGGGCTGTTGGGGGCGGCGTGGGAATCTGCGCCCCTGCCCGCGGTGAGACGCGCGTTTGCGCGGGCGGGGGGGGGTGGGGGGGGCCGCGCCCCGCCTGCGCGCTCGCAGGCCAGCAGTAGGGTGTGATGCCCGGCGATGTAAGCCTGAAGTGTCCTCTTCGGCTCGTCTGCGCTATCGCCCCCGCGCCGCAGCGTCACGGGGCGCGGCGCGGCGCGCCGGCGGCGCGCGACCTCTCGTGGGTGATCATTTCGACCGTGTCCGAGAGGCGCTGGCGCTTGCAAGGTGCCTTCAGCTGGCGCAAGAGCGCGCGCGCCTTCCAAACGGAGACTGCCCCAAGCTGGCCCCTCGACGCCTCTCGCCCCAGCCGCGACGCCAACTGGTCGCGCGGTTCCAGGTGCGCGGGGATCTGGGGCTTGTATCGGCGGTAAAACTTCGTCTTCGTCTCGGACAGATC